TATTTTTCACACTGTTCACTTCAAAACTGCCTCATCCACATCTTCATAGACACATGTTTTTAAACGTTTTGAACAAGAATTCGATTAATCATAATTTTGTATCTTATCACGACTTTTTTATTATGATGGATAAGCTGTTTGGAGGAATACTAAATTTTAAACCAATATCCTTTTTTTTCACGCCTTTATCCACCTCATGAAGAATTAAATTTTTTTCTCTGATGCTCAGGCACTTTCGCTTTGACATTTTCCAGCTTCAAGGTCATTGATCACCATAAAATGTGTTAAAAGAAAGAACAAGTTTGAAATGCTTAGAAATATTTTGAGAAATAGGGAGGAAAAAAATATTGGATCACAAGAAAAAGTTCGTTAAATAGAGAATGCCCTTCGCTACTTGGAGGTTATTTTACGAAGAAATTCGCAAAATGTTCTTGGTTCTAAGAAAAAGTTCGCAAAATAGAGAAATTCGCAAAACAGAGGTTCGTTAAATAGAGGTCCGACTGTAATTCAGTAAAGTATCTATATTTAAGCTACTATTAGATTCACCTTAAACTCCATGCACAGTTTTGTGTAATATATTTCAGTGAATCTACAAACATAATTTGAAGGAAAAATATTCATATTTCAAAAAGTAGTAGAGATTTTAAGAAAATAATTTTTTCCTTAAAAAATTAAATTTCAACTAAACAAGCATATCAAAATAGAGTTTTTTTTTCTGCAAGTTTATTTTATTTGATTGTTAAGTCTCAGTATATCAAAACCTTTTAAATGATACTTCAAATTTTAAAAAGATGTTGAGAAAGTAATGTATCCACTTAAAAGACACACAATGCTACAGTAATTTTATTACTTCTTTAAATTCATTCTTTAAATCAATAATTATGCTATAGTAAATTTTCTGTTACATCTGCATTTCAATTTTTACTTCTTTAAACCAATGTTTGATAATTAATTATTTCAAAAAGCACGATTTTTTAGGAGGATTTTGAGAAAATTAATTAAAAAGTCGTTCCATCTAAGAAATAGGTGCATATTTTCTTCCAGCTAAGATTTTTCTGAAATTAATTGGTTAGCCAAAATAATAAACCTTAAAAACAGTTTTTTAAGTCTTATTAAAAAAAATCTTTTTTTGTTTGATAAACAAGATGTAATCTGTCATCATTAAGAAATCTCGTGTTTTTTATTCATTATCGTATAAAAAAGAATGGTTTGGTTTTAGAAAATAACTATGTTCACTAAGGGATTTGTAAGTCATTTTCAAAACTAACCTTACATATTTGATAAAAGAAACCTGAAAAACAGGCTATATATAGCAAAATAGTTTTTTTGCAAATATTATTTTAGATAAAGAGCTTTTCTAACATATTTCAGTACATAATATAAAATACTTTCTAAAAAATTGTCACGGCTTCTTAAGTAAGCAAAGATATAAAAAAAAATCACCCTGGCAACCATGTAACAGTTTATGAATTTCTTCTTCAATCAAATGATTTATCGAAAAATCATAAAACATAAAATTACGTCTTTGAATACAACAAGTAATATAAACAAAAATTTAAGTCAATGCCTACTTAGGTCAACAAAGAAAAATTTTATTTTAGAAATTTTTTTCTCCCATATAAAACTAAAATTAATTAATTAAATTTAATTAATGAATTAATATTTGAAAAAACTGTATTAACATCAAGTGTCATCCACTACAAGTTTAAAAAATGTATTTCAATCATGTTTGGAAAATGTATTTCAATTTAGAGGGATGAATAAAAAGATATTAACGATTGAAAAATTGGACACTTGATATGTAAATATATATAGGAGAGTGTGAAACTAATAGTAGGAATTGGAAGAAACAATAAACTAATGTATCCATTCAAAAGGGAACTAAACATTTTTGGACAAGCAAAAAGAGATATTTTCAATATAAATTAAATGCAAAAAATGATATGTGATAAATCTCTTGACCGACGTGATTTGACACACAGCCTTCAGATCTGGAGTCAGACAGCAGCTAACGTTGCGCCACCGAGTCCCGTTCCGCATTTCTCATCCACACCGCAGTCGGAGCCATTGGGGAGGGCTCTATAATAACAAAATTAATAAAATAAATTCAATTTAATTAATAAATTAATATTTGAAAAAACTGCATTAACATCAAGTGTCTCCACTGCAGTTAAAAAATATTTCCAATTTGAGTGGATGAACAAAAAATATTCTTGTATTAAGATTGAAAAATTGAGAACATATGTAAATATATGAAGGGGCAAACTAATAGTAGTGTGAAGCAGAAACAATAAACCTAAATTTATCCATGTAAAGGGGGAACTAAGCATTTTTGGATTTTAGCTAATGAAAGGAATATTTTTCAGGAATAATTAAATGCAAAAATATATGTCTTGATAGATCTCTTGACCTTGACGTGATTTGACACGCAGCCTTCAGATCTGGAGTCAGAGCCTTTACTCGTTGGCCACTGAGTCCGTTCCGCAGCTTTTCATCCACTACACCATGATCGGAGCTTGTGGAGTGCTCTATAAATAAAAATAATAAATAAATTCAATTAATTAAATAAATTAATATTTGAAAAAACTGCAACAGGTCAAGTGTCATCCACTACAAGTTTAAAAATGTATTTCATTTGAGTGATGAATAAAAAGTATTCTATAACATTGAAAAATTGAACTACGATATGTAAATATATATAGGAGAGTGTGAACTAATAGTAGAATTGAAGAACAAAACTAATTATCCATTCAAAGGAACAAGAATTTTTGGATGAATTGCCAAAAAGATATTTTTCAGAATATAAAATTAAATCAAAAATGATATGTCTTGAGTAATCTCTTGACACCGGATGTTGAACACGGCCTTCAGATCAGAGTCAGCGCCACCGTGTGCCAGCCGCAGTCCTGTTCCGCATTCTCATCCTACACCATGACGGAGACTTGTGGGAGCAATACAATAAATAAAATTAATAAATAAATTCAATTTAATTAATAAATTATATTTGAAAAACTGCATTAACATTAGTGTCATCCATCAAGTTTAAAAAAATGTATTCCACGAGTAATTCTATTACGATTGAAAATTACAACACGATATGTAAATATATATAGGGAGAGTGTGAACTACTAGTAGAAATTAAGAAACAATAAACTCAAATTTATCCACTTCGGGGAACTAAACATTTTGGATGCAATGCTAAAAGAGATATTTTTCAGAATATAAATTAAATGCAAAAAATGATATGTCTTGGTAAAATCTCTTGACGGATGATTTGAACACGCAGCCTTCAGATCTGGAGTCGACGCGCTGCTACCGTTGCGCCAACGAGTCCTGCTCCATCTTCTCATCCCCACACCATGATTCTCCGGAGTGAGGCTCAATAAATAAAATTAATAAATAAATTAAATTTAATTAATAAATTATTGAAAAAACTGATTAATCATCAAGTGTCATCCACTACAAGTTTAAAAATGTATTTCAATTTAGTGATGAATAAAAAGTATTTTTAACGATTGAAAAATTTGAAACGATATTAAATATATAAGAGTGAATCTAATAGTATATTGAAGAAACAATAAACCTAAATTTATCCATTCAAAAGGGGAACTAAACATTTTTGGATGCAATTGCCAAAGAGATATTTTTCGGTATTTATAAATGCAAAAAAATGATATGTCTTGAGTAAATCTCTTGACCGGACGTGATTTGAACACAGACCTTCAGATCTGGAAGTCAGACGCGCTACTGTTGCGCCACCGAGTCCCATCCGCATTTCATCCCTACACCATGATCGAGCTTACGGGAGGCTCTAATAAATAAATTAATACAATTCAATTTAATTAATAAATTAATATTTGTGCATTAACAATTATCCACTACAAGTTTAAAAATGTATTCCAACTTGAGTGGATGAATAAAAAGTATTCTATTAACGATTGAAAAATTGAACACGATATGTAAATATATATAGGGAGAGTGTGAACTAATAGTAGGAATTGAAGAAACAATAAACCTAAATTTATCCATTCAAAGACTAAACATTTTTGAATTAAATTGCCAAAGAGTATTTTTTTCAGAAAAAATTAAATGCAAAAATGAGTATGTCTTGATAATAATCTCGTGACGGACGTGATGAACACACGCAGCCTCTCGATCGGGGATCGACGTGTACCGTTGCGCCATCATCCGCTCCGCATCTCATACCATGATGCGGAGCTTTGGCAGTATCTAATAAATAAAGATTAATAAAATAAATTCAATTTAATTAATCAAATTAATATTTGAAAAACTGCATTAACATCAAATGTGTCATCCACTACAAGTTTTAAAAAATGTAGTTTCTAATTTGGAGTGAATGGATAAAAGCATTCTATTAACGATTAAAATGAACACGATATGTAAAATATATAGGGAGAGGATAATAGTAGGAATTGAAGAAACAATAAACTAAATTATCCATCTCAAGGGAATCCAAAGCATTTTGGAAGGTATACACAAAGAGATATTTTCAGAATATAAATTAAATGCAAACTGATGTCTTGAGTATAATCTCTTGACGGACGGATTTGAACGCAGCCTTCAGATCTGAGTCAGACGCCATTTGACGTGCCACAGATCCCGTTCGACATTTCTCATCCCTTTACCAATGATCCGGAGCTTGTGGGAGGCCTCTAATAAAAATTAATAATAAATTCAATTAATTAATAAATTAATATTTGAAAAACTGATTAACATCAAGTGTCATCACTACAAGTTTAAAAATGTATTTCAATTTGAGTGGATGAATAAAAAGAATATTCATTAACGATTGAAAAATTGGACGATATGTAAAATATATAGGGAGAGTGTGGAACTAATAGTAGGAATTCATTGAAGGAAACAATACAATAACCAAATTTATCTATTCAAAAGGGGGCAACATTTTTGGATGCAATTGCCAAAAGAGTATTTCAGAATATAAATTAAATGCAAAATGATATGTCTTGAGTAAATCTCTTTGACCGGACGTGATTTGAACACCCAGCCTTCAGATCTGGAGTCAGAGCGCTTACGAATTGCGCCACTGAGTCCCGTTCCGCATTTCTCATCCCTACACCATGATCGAGAGCTTGTGGGCGTTCTCTAATAAATAAAATTAATAAATAAATTCAATTTAACGAGATAATTAATATTTGAAAAAACGTAGATTACCATCAAGTGTCAATCCACTCAGCTTAAAAATTATTTCAATTTGAGTGGATGGACAGAAAAGTGATCTAACGAACGATTGAAAAATTGACACATATGTAAATATATATATTGAAATAATAGTATGAAGAAACAATAAACCTAAATTTCCATCGTCAACAAGGGAAACTTTAAACATTTTGGATCAATTGCCAAAAGAGATATTTTCAGAATATAGATAAATGCAAAATGATATGTCTGGTAAATCTCTACTGACCGGACTGTTGAACGGCCTTCAGATCGGGGAGCTCGGACGCTACGTGCCGAGTCCCTATGCCCCATTCTCATCCTACACCAGAGTCGGAGACTTGTGGGAGGCTATTAAATAAAATAAAATAAATTAATTAATTAAATTAAATTAAAAATGTATTAAGAATGCGTAAATAAGTGTCATCCTACAGTTTTAAAATGATTCTATAAATCTTGATGGATGAATAAAAGAACTTTATTAGATTAGAATGAACAAGATATATAAATAAATATATATAAGGAGAGTGTGAACTAATAGAAGGAATTGAAAAATATTAGCCTAAATGGTTTGCGTTTTTATGAAACGTATTTCACTGAGCTTATTTTAAACCTTAAATGCATGATTTCTCAATATTTTTTTTTAAAAAACATGATTAGTGAGTTTAAATGCTGTAGATTAATCGAGGAAAAGGATGAGAAAAATCTTAACTCTTTTAAAAAACTTAATCATTCAAAATTATTATCTGAAAACCTCCTTTAAAACCGGGACTTTTGGAGAGGAAGCGACATAAATTGGACTCTCCCAACCACCACCCCACTCCCTGCTATAAACTTCGCTTAAGGCGCATGAATATGGACTGTGGTTGGCAAGGATAAATGGACTCCCTACCGCGCTTATCTCCTAAGTGATCTCAGAACCTCCCCTCAAAAGACGCCAACCGCCTCAGACTGGCCTTCGTCGCTGTTAACCCTCCTAGCGTCAGGCCCGAGATATCTGAGTGAACTTTTTTCCTCTCATAACGGCAGACCCGAGACTGTCTCGGGAAAGAAAAGTTCCATATAAGTGTCAGACCCGAGATTTTCCTTCTACAAGTTTTTCTCTTCCCCTCAGGTGTCACGCGGCGACATAATGAGAGGGACTGTCTGCGGTCAGCAGAGGGTCAGTTTGACCAACTTTTCTGAGAATACTCAAAGAAGGGTCTTCTAACAAAGGATTCTGTCACATGGAATGGAGGAAACAAGTCATCTGTCACTGCTGAACGATAACAGGTCTAATAGACCCCATAAGCGCGAAAATGACCACAGAAGGGGGTTAAAATCCTTTTGTCCAAAACCTCACAACTTGAAGAATAACCTTCACTTTTAACGTGACAATTTCGTTAAACTTAGCAATCTGAAAGCCTAATGGCTGGAGGATTAAGGGGGAATTTCCAGACCTCCCAGGATCGCCAGGCTCGGTGCGAGAGGGTTAATTTAAAATATTAAATCAAAAAAATATAGATGAAACAAATCATGGGAAACTAGATGAGACAAAAAAACCCATTTTATTTAGTTTCGGGAACAGTATGCATTCAAAAATTAAATTTTAATCTCTTTTCAGAATTTATCCAACCTAAATGCTATACTGTTGAATTTTCGAAAATATTTTGAGTTTTAAAATTAAGAGGTGATAAGGAGCTAGGGCTGCCCCTTCCTTTCTGCCTTTTCCAGCAGATTTCTTGGAGAGGGGATATTGGGGATGAGGACCCCTGCTCTCACTAATTTGCACAAAAAACCCATCGACATGTTGTCAGTCGACATTCTCGTATACGGACACAATGCTACGCGATACGTTTTCCCTTGGAGAGAGAATATTGGGGATGAGGACCCTTGCTCTCACTAATTTGCACAAGAAACCTGTCGACATGTTGTCATGTCGACTTTCTCGTATACTTACTTACACAATGCGACGCGATTCGTTTTCAGCTTCATAGAATAATGAAAAGAGATGAAACGGTTGGTCCAAATTTTGATATTGTATCCAATCCTGATGTCAGGGGCGCTTACCAAAATTCCTTTACCCTACTTGTGCTTTAAGGTTAGGTTAGGTTATATTAACGTCCCGTTTTGAAGCAACATGAGGGCTATTTAGGGACGGACCTCGTCAGATGACGAGGACGACACCTGAGCTGGCACCCCCTTCTCCAAACTTCCGCGCCACACCAACGGGAGGACGTTTGGCCACTACGTATGATTTAGCGTGCAACAGGCCCCATACACGGCGGATCTTCAGTGGAATCGGGTTTCGAACCTGCGACCCTCCGGTCCCGAGGTCGAGACCTTACCACTAGGCCACCGCGGCCCTTGTGCTTTAAGATCACCGCTCTAAACCAGGACATTCACTATCACTCCCCTCCACGCAAATGCCGTGTTGACGCTCCACCCCAATTTTACAGTTAATACCAATTAGCAAATTTCTTCCGTCTAGTTTGCTACATGTTTTAGTTATCGTATTCACATCCAGACGTCAAATAGAGATAGTTGCGAAACATGGTTTTTCGGCTTCAAGCAGATCTTCAACTGATCTGCCTGAAGATCTTCTGAGATCAACTTTTTGTCTCAGTATTTCCGCTCAGTATGTTAGAAATTAAAAAGTAATTTGTGTGTCTTTAAGTTAAGAATGGAATTCCGCATTTTATGATCCTCAAGAACTTGAAATAGAAGACATGCGGTATAATGAAACATCTGAAGACCGTGAGATCCTAGAACAAAGAATGAGAAATTATAGAAACATTACTTCGAAAATCCTATAAACGGAAGTTGAAATATTCCTTACATATTGTTACAAAGCTATAAAGTCATTTCCCTGAGATGCTAATCTTGGAGACCATTTTGGCGACCTTGGCGACAAATTTGGCGACCATTTTGGCGACTTGGCTGAAAAGTTGGCGACTTTGGCGACAAATTTGGTGACCATTTTGGCGACTTGGCGGAAAAGTTGGCGACTTTGGCGACAAAGGGAATTTTCTAGAAGGACCTCGAACTTTCAACATATTTCTACTGGTTTCATGAACTTCCTAGAGATTACGTCACTTCCGACGTAATGAAGTCATTTCCTGCTGAAAAGCATAAAGGCAAGCTCTCAAGGCAAGAAGAGTCAGTTGGATTTTGATCAGCAAGCAAGATGGTGAGCTAATAAGAAACTTTAGGGTGCTGTGTTGAGAGTTAATGATAATCTCTGTTGAGAATTTTTACGAGTGCTGTTTTAATACTTGTGCTACGTTTCTTTTCCTAGAATATTTGTAAAATAAAGAGCTTTATTTTCTTAATCCTGCTTATTGGATTGCTTTCACTTACACCCACAAGACAATTTTGTTACAATATACAGTAGATTTCACTTAATGTGATCAGTTCGGGACTTAAGAATTTTCATAACATTAACCAATTAATAACAGTAACAGAATTGGGTATAATCAACTATATTTTTATCACATCAAGGAAAAAGAAACAAAAAGGAGAAAAAAACACTCACCCCTATCTATAATTTATTTCAAAAATAACAATTTAAAAAATTCATCAATTCTTGCTTGACGACAATTATTCCTTAAAAGCTCATTTATATATTGTTCGTACTCGTATTGTTTTTGAAAATTTGCTGAACGATGTTGCACACCGCGTTTCAAAATATCAAGGTCTTGCCTCATTTCGGCGATTGTTGGAGGGTTTTCAACAACACATTCGACCCCGTTGATATCATCAACTTTTATTGCTCGGTCTTGCTCACAAACAGCTCGGCGAATTTCCAAGTCTGTTAGCGTGGCAGCTACTGGAATGTCCTCGTCATAGGATATCCACTCTTCATACTCCTCCTTTTACATACCTTCAGGAGGTTCAATGACAATTACTGACGGTCAAGTCCCTGCCCGCTAAATAGACGATCTTCAAAGATAAGTCATGAAAGATAAACCCCGAAATTCTGGGGATGTGGGGGAAAGTGGTCCCCGGATGTTTCCTTACAAGTGGAGTGAGAAATTCGATGAACGTCAATCGTTAACGCTGTTTGAAGATGAGGGATCGGTCAATTCTCTACTTCAAAACTGATAGCATTAAACGATGTAGTGGTCACACTAAACGAATAACTGTGCGTACATTTGAATACGTTGGCTCGGGACCAGAAGTTTTTGTTAATATAAAGCGAATGATAACATTAATGGCGGTCACATTAATAGGAGTCTACTGTATAACAATGCATTAAGGGTTACGGTGGCCAGTATTAGGTTCTTTGGCAAATATTATTGGATGAAATTTATTATGCACAATTATTAAAATATGAATGCGTCAAATATGTTTGTGTTGGCCGTGAGAGGTCGTCTACTTCTACACGAATCAAAGTGAAGTGATGCCTTGAAATCAAGTATTTAAACTTCATCGAACCCCACTAAGGGAGACAAGACTAGACAACGACTAGTTCATTTCGAGTTTCAGTTTTTCAACTGGCAGCGCCAGTCTCAGATGTTTTGGATGTTTCCCGTTCGATGGCTTAGCTTCGTGCAGCTGCTGAAGTAATTCTCCATGTAGTTCCATTTTCCTTGCTGCTACAAAAGTTATCCTTCAGTTCCAACTGAAGCCAGCGAGAATGCTTCTAATTTTATATTATGTAGACTCTCTCAATTTTGTGGAATGATCCAGGAAATGCATCGCATCGAATTGTGTCATCTGGCTCTGAGTATCTTATTTCTTTTTAAGTTATTTTACACTGTTCAATGTTGTTAAAGATAATTTGTCATCCATCAAACGTCTAATAATTTAGTGGAGTCAGACATACGAGCTGATGGTTACATGTTCAAAAAACTCTTCAAATCTAAATATATTATTTCAAAAAAGATATAAATTT